TATTTGTTTTTGGTTTTTTTTTCCCGATTCTGAAGCTCTGTAATCACGACCTTGGTCCCCAACATTCATTTTGCCATGCAGTTTTATTCTTCTCACTCCCATCTATTTTTTCACCTATATAGTCTTACGCTTAGTGCTTCCGCTATTTTCGCATCCCTAGACAGACGTTGCCTTGCGATCACTTTTCTCGCGCACCTGTTCTGCCCATTCTGTTCCGATTCGGCGTGGGCTATGATGTTTTTCGAGGATTCGATGATCGATGGAACCTCGTTTTTCATTACCTACCAACTCGTTGTGTTGTCTTATGAGGCGCATATTGAGTAAGATACTTGGTATTTTTAGAGTTTTTTCAATATTATTCATTTATGCATCATGATATCAAAGATTAATAGGTTAAATTTTAGTGGAGATAGTCTTTATTAAATTAATTTGACGCTTACTCTTGGTTTATCATTCTTTTTTTAGAATTAAAGGGAAAATAAATATTTTGTGATTCTCTAGATATTCATTATTGAGTTAAATAGAAAAGTACTGACTGATGCAAAATGTGGTTATTATGATTAGTATAAGTGTTGGGAATCTACATTAGGTATTCTTGCATAAAGGTGAAAATACCCAACGATTTAATATATAGGGGCCATAGATACAGAAACTGATTGCCAGATTTGTTCCATGGCTATATAACTGTAAGTGACGTTTTATGTGGTCTTTTGGTAAGATGAAGTTAGAAAATAGGTGAATTGAGAGAGGACTGTACAGTATAAAAGATAAATATAAGAAGATTATTTGGGTTGAGGATGTATGGTTTTGTATATGTAACCGTAGGAAATGATAATATGATTATGATTCATGGATACAGCTGTAGGAAGATGGTGGATAAGGTTGAATATAGGGACCGACGCAGAGGAGAAGGTTGTAATGACATAAAATATAGGTATGGATTGATTCATTGGGTGAAGGATCAGGAGTTTAGCGTTTGATGGTGGATAATAGGGACTCATTTCAATGGACCAAGTTTAAGCCAGAGGTGATGTAGTAATCGTTCAAGGAAATCTGGTGGGTCTATTGATCGATGGGTTTCTCTATAGTTTAGTTTTCGCTTGCTTAGAATGAGGTCAGACGAGAGTAGCGCTATGTAGTGGTGTGTGAAGAGAGGAGTTAAACTTGTATATGGGTAAACATAAATAGTCTGTAAAGACTCAAAGAAGGAAGCTATATTGCAGAAAAAGGAATATGAATGGGTGTAAATTGGTGAGTTTTTTAGAGTTATAACTAAGGGAACAAACAGAATCAAGTTTTTATCATGGTGAAACTAGAGAGAGATATTTAAAAACCAAAAATTATCTAAGAATAAGATATGATGATGTGAAGTATAATCTTTATTGATGGCGGCTAAATTAGTGGATACAAATAGACAGGTTGATAACTTCGTTTTAGTGACGGAGTACAGGTCATAATATTTTAATGGAATGTATAAATAGAATGGATAGGCGTCCTTGAATACGTGAAAGATTATATCGAGTTAAACGAAGTTAAATAATATACGTTTTACCACTATCGTATATAATAAAGCGGTTAGAGAAAGAATAAAAAGGTGGGGTAATCAAGAGTTGGGAATGAGGGGAGATGTTTGGGGGGAGCGGATTACCGTACCTATTCAAGATTAGTAGGACATTGAGTATGTAAGAGAATGGGAGGAGAGAGGAGAGAGAGCGGGACAGGTTGTGGAAGGTTTGCAGGGGTTGTGGTTCCGAGGAGGGTTGTTAAGATGGAGTTTTAAGGGTCTTGGTTGTAAAAGATAGGTTTACGAGGGAGATTGGGTTCAAGCTTATAGGGTTTCTTGTTCGGGAAAGATATTTTGTGGGTGAAGGATATGAGAGGGAAGAGATGATGGAGTGAAAGTGAGAGGGAGAGGTTTGTTATTTTTTAGATTTGATATTATAGAAATACATAAAAGTGTTTTTTTTGAAAATAAATACAATAAAGTGTCTCTGTTTGGAATAGGTGGAATGAAGCTTTGTTTAAAGTGTGTGTGAGAATGGGAGGAGCGCGATGTTTATAGAGGTAGATTAGTTTGAGTTGGTGCGTACACCGTTATGTTGAAGTGAGGATTAAATAAATTTTTGAAGACGACAGTAGATATTAGATGTGATAAAGTAACAGGTGACCGCGAGGGAGGGTATATTTGATGGAATTGTATATGAGGTGAAATGTTTATATTATTTTATGATTTTTAAAAAATATACTTTTGGATATTCATTTACGGTAAATTAGTAAGCGATTGTACGTATTTTTTGTAGAATGTTGTGAGCATAATTTCAGTATCGAGAAGAGATTAGGTATTTAATGGGGGGCAGGTTGGATATGCCTTGAGTTTTTTACGATTGTGTTAGGTAAGTGTAGTTGTGTTTTTTAGTACAAATAGTGGGAGAAATTGGATGCAATAGGAATAGTATAGTTAAGAATGGTTAAAGCTGGGTGACATGGCTATGGCAAGAAGTTGAGTTGTGCAATGAGGTCGGCGTAGGGGTACAATGAGGGTAGGTAGATGAGCGTTTTTGTCAGGCACATTAGAGTTGATATGGAGGTCTTTGAATGTAAAAGAGCAACTTGAATTATATAAATTGGTTGTTCGTTTTTGGCTCAGATATGCAGGAGCTTTAGCTCAGTGCCTTTCTAATGCTTCTCATTTTTCTTGGTTTCTTTCGTGTTTTTCGAACTCCTTGTTACTTTTTTGTCTTAAAGTTTAATGACTTCGTTTGTGTGCGGGTTTTTCTTTTTTGCCGTTATTAGATAATATGCTTTTTAGTCACAAAAATTAAAGGAAAAGTTGATATTTTCTTGGAGAAAAGTTCTGGGTATGAGAACGATTCAGTAAATTTTCTTTATGTACAGAACTTCTATTTTAGGAGTCAACTCTCAGTAATTAAATTTGGAGGTGACTTACGGCTCACGTGGCAGCTTATATATAGTACGGGGTATAGTGTATGAGTATTGATATTTAGTAGAGGTTGGCGAACAAAATCTGATTGATTAAATAGTGCAAGAGATTTCGTTAATTCTAACAAATGGTTAGAGTATGCTGGATAAGTGTCGTTTGTCATGAAATTAGATTGAGTGCTTATTTTGGGATGTAGGCGTGTTTAGGAGAGGATTTTTTTCTTGCCGCTAGAACGGGTTGGGGATCGGGGAAAATTTTACGGTAGGCATCTCGTGTTTCACATGAAGTGTATAACTGATTTGTTTGTGCGGAGATTTATTGGGAGTTTGTTTGGTGTTTGGGGTGGGTGGAGTTCATTTAGGGCATTGATAAATTGGTCTATTTAACGAGAATTGAAGTTCTGGATTCGATGAGTCAAAACAGTTATAAGTTTGATTTTAGTTATTTATTGTAGGGATGTGTAATTTCAAATATTAAATTATCGATGTGTTGTTAGTACATTTGATAAGTTTCGTATGTAAAATATCAGTCATATGGAAGTATTAATTAATTTTATATTTCATAATATATATATAAAACTATATATATATTATATTATATAATATATATATATATATACTATATATATATATATATATATATATATATATATATTATTGATTTGTAAATATTGAGTGAGCGATCCTTATTTATAAGCATAATATTCTGATTATTTTTTTAGTTGCTTCCAAGTAAGTGATATTGAAGCTGATAATTTGACTAGGATTAAATGATTTATGTGAAGGTTTTGTTGGGACGGCTTTCTTTCTACTTCTTAAAGTTATTTTTTACTACAAAATTTGAATTTTTGTACTACAAAATTATTTTAAGAAGTAGAAAGAAAGCCGTCTCAAACAAAGCCTAAATTTGATCTTTTTTATCATAATTACGTAAGATTGAAGAGCGAGTGACTCTCATAATGAATTCACTTAAATGAGTGAGCTCTTGATGCATGTTACAAGGGGTTATTTGGTTGTATAACTCATCTTAATCTTTTTATGATATAAAATTAATAGCTCATCTTAGCCTTTTTTTGGCAATCCCAATCAATCTTTTTGCCATGGACCAAGCTCTAGTCTTGCATGCCCCCTCCTTTTAATGGAGTGGCTATATTAATTGCATGTAATTATCATGACGCTTGTTCATCTAGCATACCTTGACGCTTGGTCATCTAGCATACCTTCCTTTTAAGAGGTGGATTTTCTCGATTACTTTTACTTCTCTTCCGACTCTAGTCATCCAATGTGGCATTCTTTCTAGAAAAGGAACTTTCTCGACCTTAAATTTTCACTTAAAAAAGTCATTCAAGCTTCGTTTACGACAATTCTCTTATTGCTTTGTTTTTCAAATCGAAATAACAGGTTTTGTTTGATCACTACTTTTTTTTCATTGTTTTCAATAATTTTTTGAATTAGAAAGCTACTTTTTGTAGAAGCTTTTAAAAAAAGTATTCTCACATTACGATTACCTTCAAAGAAAGTTGGAGCCGTCCCAAGCAAGAGAAATAATTATGTGCAGATATCAGACCGTTCAAAGACAAATCAAAACGAGCCATTTTATATGGTACACAGCAAACGAGTGATGTGGGGTGTTCAAATTTGCTTCTTGACTGCTTCTGTATCAGCACAATTTAATTTCATCCCAAACAGACCCTAATTACATCTTTTTTTTCATGATTAAAAATCATCCAAGTCATAATAAAAAATCATCTACATCACCATATTCCCTTCATCGCCCCTATCTAATATTTATCATAATTTAAATAACTTTTACTATATATAGATCTTCTACCAATCTTAAAAAAAATAAAAAAAAAAACTAAAAAAAAAATCCTCTACTCGAATTAATAAAAATTATTTCAATTGAACCAATATTATGAATTTCTTTTCTGGGATCTTCCAAGTTAAAAAGCCAATTACAGTGCATTGCATTTACTTTCTCTAATTGTCTGAATTCGAATTTAAACAATACAATAATAAAATTGACTGATAAAAAATTTCTCCGGTGAAAAAATTGCAAGTCACGATTTCTCAGCGATGCGGCGGAACCGGGAAACGTCGTCGTCTTCTCCGTAGGCGACGCGGCAACATCGAAGCCCTAGATTTCGCTGGTCTTGACGATTCGTTAAACACGAAGATGATGAGAGTTGGGTCTTGGTAGGTTGTGATGAGGACTTGGAGATGCAGCGGAGGGCATCCTCAAAGAAGTACTCGTCGCAGGGGAGGGAGAGCGGGCCAGAGCGGGCTGAGAAGCCGTACTCAATCTCGGCCCGTTCGAGTAGCTCCCGGAAGATTGGGTGGTTGAGATGCACCACGCGCACAACGAAACGCTTTGAGCTCCGGCCCACGCACACCGCCAAATGTCCCGCCGGCACGCCCTCCGGCGCTGCCTTCCTCCACCGCCGCACCATCTGGCGGAGCCGCACTACGCCCTCGATACTGCTTCCCCAGCTCTTTTCCTCTCCCATCGCTCGCTCTCTTTCTCACCTATCTCCCTCGCTTCGCTGTTTAATTTGGGTAGAAAATAGAAATCATTGAGGCATAGGAAGGGCAGGGATGGGCATTTATACAAGTTGAAAGAAAGAACAAAATAAGGGGGAAAGGTTATGCGACCTCATGTTCAGATTTAGTCTAAATAATAATAATAATAATAATCTTCCTAAAACTTAACGGGAATTATTAAGAAAATAGGATATTTGACTTTATATATCTTATAATAATAAAAATTAAAAAAATATTTTTGTTCTAAGCGAAATATATTTGATTTTTTTATTTGAGATATTATTTAAATTAATATTTTTTCGAATTAAATAAGTTTATAGCCGATCATCCAAATTTTGATTTTAATAAGTTTATAGTCGAATTGACAATTTGTCAACACTAATCTTTTGTCACCACAAGTAATTCAATCTATATCCAAATAAGTCAAACTCAAACACTTGAAGCATATTTATAAATTTCATTTCATTAATTGAATGACTAAACTATCTACAAATATGACGTGCTTATATATAGTCAAATTAAGCGGTTCGAGAAGATAAATCCAACAAGTACACGGTTATTTAATTTTGATGTCATTAAGAAACTTAAATGCAAAATAAATAATTTATAATCAAGGGGATTAATATAGGTCATTTATTGTTTTGGATTATGACCAAATTTACTAAAATATATTTCTACAAAAATTAAGTTATAAATAATGTTTCATTTTTATAGTTGGGAGGCTTGAGAGCTAAAGAACTTTATTGTATTTCTCAGTAATCGCTACCAACGATGAGCATCAGTAATAGAAACCACTACTGCTTGACTTCCATCATCCAACTATTAATTTTGCTTGATAATTAATATCCAACTTCATTATTGAGCTTCAACTGTCTGTCTCTGAATACCGAACTTCTATAATTCTTGTAATAAGAATTAGATAATCATTCTCAATTGTGTAATATTGTCTTTTTCATTGTGAGGAAGAGTGGATACTAATATCTATACTAAAATAGTGGAGTACTATTGCAATTGGGTTAGGTCCTTTAATTTTTTTTTTTTTACAAAAAAATTTATCTTTTATGAATTTTATTTGTGTATGATGGATCTTTGTAGAATACTGAGATATTAAACACTATCATTATAAATTTTCTAACATATAATAATGCCTTAAAGTTTATTTTGGCCCAAAATGCTCGTGATATTCTTATATCCACAAAAGGATTTAAGAAGACCCTTGCGTGGATACATTCATTCTTAACTTTTGAGCTAGAAGCTACTTGACCCTTTCTCTTTGAAATAAGTTCCTTAAATCACACTCTATTGGGTTATTGATATGTTTTATCTCTTGAATTGCACTATGCGATGCCCATTTACAATCTCCAAAACTTGTTCGAACAATGTTCTAATTATGTTGCAATCATGTTCAAATCTTGTTTGATCCACATAAGATTGTAAAATTGTTCGATCGTATTTGAATCGTATTCAATGCTCGGACATGCACAATTTATTTTTATCAATGTTCAAATATGAACCCAATCTTATTGTAATGTGGGTTGAACCTTATTCAAACTTATATCAATCATAGTAGATTTTAAATGGTACTCAATGGTAAAAAATTGGTTATATTTTGATCCGAAATAAAATTTTGATATATTTCACCAGAATAAATAGGGTCAAACTTTTTTAATTTTCACTAATAATAGAAATATAAAGTCAAATATTCAAATTTAACACGATAAAAAATTTAAAATATTTACTATTAGAATTTATATTATTAATTTGATCGTAAGTGGGTTATTTTTTTAAAATTTTTGGACCAAATCATATAGCAAAACTATATTAAAATATTAACATGTTAATTGATAAAACAATAAATGTCTTATTATTAATTTCCATGGAATTGTCTTATAGTATTATTACTATTTGCCTAAGAATCAACGATATTTTTTCAGACGAAAATTATTCAAAAGAAAAGAAAATATCTTTAATGATGATTCTTGTTAGCTCCTTGTCTGGATTCCATGCTTGCTTACAAAATTCTTATGAGGAATTTCTTATAAATTTTTTGGGAGGAATATTTGGCGTATATAAATATAAATAGAGTGAATATATTTTGAAAAGTTTCACTCACATTATTAAATATCTTTTGAAGATTTTTTTTCAATTCAATCCCTCATATTCAAGAAAATATATTACGTGCAGTGTCCGGAGGTCAATCTAGACGCACTACGTTATCCAATGCACACGTCCGGATTAACCGCCGGATGCGTTCGGACACGCATAGAATAACCCTGGCGCGACACGCGATCTGGCAGAGCGGGCCCGACTCGCGAGCGGGCAGCGTCGGGGAGGGCGCTGGCAACATTCGCGGTCGAGCGGGCAGGCGCGGGTAGCCGGGGCAGCCTCGGGCATCTAATTCTAAGCGGGTTTCCGGGTTGACCCGCAAACCCGTCGGGTCAACCCCTAACACGACCCGTTTTTCAAACGGGTCGAATTCGGAAACTCGAACCTGACCTGTTTTGAAATCGGATTGGGTCCAATCCGGATTTTTCGGGTCGGGTTTTCGTGTCGTATCAAACATTGACACCCCTACTCTCCACCATGCAAGCACTCAATAAATATGATATTAGTATTATATATAAGATTGATGTACTGCACTAATCTTAATGCAAATCTAATAACTATGAAGTGTATACTGATACAATTTATATCGTAATATTATGAAATAAATTTTTTTCAATAAATATTCAATTAATCATATAAATAAATCAAGGTTCAAGATAGATAAGATGTATTATATTTGATTGTTAATTGCTTAAAGATATTTTATTATTCAACATATATAATCGTCTGCTTTTGAGACTATTTATTCAATAAAGATTGAACACTTTGTACATTTTTAAGCTTTTACGGTCTTTATAGGCTTATAAAGATTGTGTACAAGCCTGTAAATAATATGTACATTCATGCACAGACTTTGTACATTCATGTAAACAGTTGGTTTAGAAATGTACATCCCTGTATAGGTTATACACACTACATACAAGCATATTTAGAGTTGTATAGGCTTATACACACTGTGTACAGAATTATACATACATTTTACAAACTTGTACACTGTGCATAACCTGTACATAGTGTGTACAAGCCTATAAACAATGTATACAAGAATATACACACTATGTATAGGCTGGTATACACTATTTATTATTACGCTAACAATATCAATAAATATAGAAAGACTTATTTTTATTATTATTTATAAAAAAATCCAAATCTTTTACATATTGCCAATATGCTTGTACATATTCAACATAGGTTGTACACACTATTATAAGCCTTTACATACCGTGTACTACATATATACATTATGTACAAGTTAATTAACACACTAATTACTATTACGTTAATGATACAAAAAATATAGAAAGACTTATTCGAGTTGTTATTTATAAAAAAATCTAAAACAAGTCTTCACCAACGACAACAAGACAAATCATCCTATTGGTCTCGCCCATCTCAGTCTCCATTCCACTCAGCACTAACGTCTGGCTTATAACATAGACTGACAAGACAACAAGTATTTTGAAGACGTACATCATGAAACTTTTCATATTATATGAAAGGGAGATGATAGAGAAGCACAAAAAGAGGACTTTTAGCATTCTCGAATAGAGTATCGATCGTCACACGAGCGAATCCACAATGACGAATCACTAGAAGGAAAAAGGAGAGATTTTATTTCTTTCTCTATCTAAAGCTCTTTCTTTCCACTTGCTTGTAAATATGGCCTGGAAAATAAAAAATTTTGTTTAGATTCATACAATCTCTTATCTTCTCTTTCTTTATTCACATTCATATTTCACTACATTCTCCTCTCTTGCTCTCCTTCTATCGGCGGCATATTGTATGGCCTGACATCATCCATTGAATAAAATAAGATTCAATAGGTCAAAGGAGTGTAGTTAAACCATGGTGATCTAAGAATCGTAGTTGATGGCGATGATTGAAGGATTGTATTTGAGTGACAATATTTATAAGTCTAAAGTATGACAGTGGTGATGACTAAATGATCATAATTAAGCAACCGTGGTCAAAGGATTAAGGTTGGACGATAATCAAAGGACTATACTCAGGGGTCGAGGATTGTTGTCGGACGACTGTGGTTGGAGGATCATAGTTGTGTGACTATAACCAGAGGATTGTTTTAAGGAGATGGTGGTTTGAGGACCAAAGTTAGAGATGGTAGTCACAATATCGAAGTTCAACGATGGTCATTGGAAGATCACATTCAAGAGATTATGATTAGAGAATCGTAGTTGGGGAACGAAAGATTGTAGTATTGAGATGGTGGTCGAAGGTCCATAGTGGGCATATAGAGGTTAAAAGATTGTAGTAAGATTATAATGTTCTATGAAAGTTCGAGAGATGGTGATTGAAAGATTGTAATTAGGACTTTGGAGGTCGAAGAATTACAATTGGGTGATAGTGGTTGGAGAGCCAAAGTTGGGCGATTGTGATTTGAAGACTGAAGTTTAATGACATTTGTCGTAAATCATGGTTAAGTGATAATGGCCAGAGGATCTTAGTCGAGCAAAGATGTTCAAAAAATTATAGTCGGACAATGGTGCTTTGAGGAATGTAATAGGGTGACAGTAATTAGAGGACTATGGTCTGGTGGCAATGGTTTGATGGTGGCAATTAGGTGCTGGTTAGATATAAGAGTTCAAGTAGTGGCCCATCGATTGATGATAATGTTTAAGTGGAGCTCCAAAATTCTTCAAACTTTTAAGCTCTTCTAAATCTAAAGTCGAGGTCCAAGCACCTTCTCATATAAGAGTAGAAGATATTTTCAAAGATTTGTGAGAATGGCCCATTTGTAAATATAACTAAAATCTAAAATAGTATTTTGGATGACCCGTATTGAATACCTTTGATTATAGGACATTTTTCAACATTTAAATGCTTTAGTGATATCAAATTT